GATGCAGACATCGGTCTTCTGCTAACATTCCATTGCAAGTTGGCAGTTAATATAGAGCCTGTTTCTACTGGAAAGAAATAATCGATTAAAAATCGCATTTTCGAAAAATTGCTTTTATTCTTGCAGTAGAAACGGGATCAGTTGGAAAAAAGCGATTAAAAAAAAATCGATTAAAGATGGATAGCGTGTTTGAACGGCAAATGACCGATTTTGGCTGTGCACCTTTTAGCTGCAACACAAAAAAAGCGATTATAAGGTGAAATGTGACCTCCAGGTCAATCACTGCAAAGACTAGATCGTATTAGGCGCAAACTTTCAAAAAATTTGTCCTCTTGTTCGTGTCCTAGGCCTACAAGCTAAAAATGTCAACAAACATGTGGAGCGACGAATTCGTTTTGTAATTATTTTGTGGGGGGTGGGGTGGATATTGGGCCTAGGCCTCTCCGCTCATTTGGGCCTACCGTTGTCCTCATTTGGTCCCTTGTTCATAATTGTGCCGATGAGCACAGCCGAAAACATTTGCCTTCTACATCGTATCTTACTCCTCGTCATCATGACAGGAATGAGAAAGATACTATCCTATACAGTTATGAAAACAACGTGTTGTATAAACAAAATGGTGAGGTAATTTCCGTCACGAAAACCGATTTTCGAAAAAAATAAAAAATTCAGTTGCAACGCCAGCAGGCTGTCTGCTACTCATTAAAAAAAACGGTTTTAAAAAATCTATTATTTTGTGCTTATCATTAGAAATACACCATAAAAGTATATACATACGTAAGTATCTGTTGGTCTCCTCTATGGGTCAAATCCTACCTTGTGATAGTAGCACATTATTGTTTTCCTATGCAGAGGTACTGTAGTTGTATCTTAACAGTATGAATTGTTTAAGGTGTGTGCAGTGGTAGTTCCTGATATTTGCCGACAGGAAGCCAGAACCAAGGGCTGGGTAGAGCCTTGGTGAGTGGTTCCATATAAAAATCCCTGGTAGAGTTTGTGGTAGAGTTTTATGGTTTAGTAAGGTCAAAAATTGTGCTTTACATTATTGCGTTATTTGGACAGACAAATTATTGTTTTAGGTCCGACAACCTTGTTGGGTGATAGTGGTCCAAGTCGGAGGGAAAACTCTGACCCCTAACAGCTTGTGCCATCACTGGGTGTATATAGGCTACAAATATGTTGTTTTTTGGTTTTGTTTTGTTTTGTTTTTTTTTTTTTTGCTTTTTGCTTTAATTATTTTCATATGGTATAAATATGCTTAGTGCCAATATCCTCTTTAAATTCTTTCATACTGTTTCACAAAATATATATAGATATTGAACAAAATAAATAAAAATAATACAAAAATGAAAGTTCAAACAATTAATTATAAATTGATGAGATGGAGATTGCTTAGCAAGTACATGGAATGTGGTGCTGAGATTGAATTTTTATCGAAGTAGAGTCTACATAACCAACATAAGCTAAACATGAGCAATATAAATCAGTCACATGTAAAGGCAATAGTCGATTATGAGAAGGTAGAATAGAACCATTAAATTATGTTTGTCTGTATCCAGAGTGCAGTAATGTTCAGTTGTTTGGTTTTAGTTTAGTTGCATGAGAAAGGAGATTTACACAAGTTGAACCTATGTTGCTTTCTTTTTATAGATCTGTTGTTTGTAGTGTTTGGACTTATTGCCTTGCTTGTTGGGCTGGTAATGCTGCCGGAGTGGATAAAGGACGTATTGACACTTTCATTCATCAGGCTTGTAAAATGATTGGTCTACAGTTACCCTCCATTAGTGAGGTGTATCTAGAACATCTTCAGAAAACCTTCCATCGTATTGAGTTAGATACCTCTCATCCACTCCATTATGCTATTATTAACCAACTTAATCCAAGTGGTAGAATGAGGCTACTCAGAGCAAAAACAAACCGTTATGCGAAGTCATTTATCCC